AGGGAGTGGGAGATAAAGAGGTCATGGATGGCGGTGAGCTTGTTGCACACCGATCGGGCGTTCAGGAGTACAACCGAGAGAGTGGAGGGGGGTGGGTGCGGGGAGGAGGGGAACAGGTATAAGGTTGAGGGGGTTTTGGTGCTTTTTGTGAGTAGGAGGGTGCCTAGTGGGTGAGTGAGGTGGTAAGGGGCCAGGGTTCGGGGAAATATCCCCAGCGGTTAGGGGGAGGAGAAGGGGGAGAAAGGTGGCATGAGAGCGGGATGTGCAAGAGCGTGTGGGTCTGTTAGGGGTGGCATGTGGGTTGGTGGGAGAGTGGAGTATCAGGAGGAGGTGGTGAGAACCGTAGTGGGGAGAGGGAAGTAGTGAGGGTCCAATGTAAAGTTGTTTTGGGGGGGGGGGGTAGAGGGAGGAGATTTTGTGAATGGAGGAGAGGAGTACGAGGAGGAGTACAGGTGGCATATTAAGAGGGTGAGCGGAGTGCTGGTCAAATGAGAGAGGTGAAAAGTTTCACTATCGCGCAGTGGCGGAGGAGTTCAACAGTGAGAGGGGAGGGAAAGTGGTGGGCAGCTGGGCCTGCTGTTGGCTAGTCACGGTAGTCTGTGGGTGCTGTAGGCCGGTGTCTGGAGGTGCTGTAGGGCACGGCATCTGGAGGTGCTGTAGAGCGCGGCGTCTGGAGGTGCTGTAGGGCGTGGCGTCTGGAGGTGCTATAGGGCGCGGCGTCTGGAGGTGTTGTAGGACGCGGTGTCTGGAGGTGCTGTAGGGCCCGGCGTCTGCAGGGGCTGTAGGGCCCGGCGTCTGGAGGGGCTGTAGGGTCTGGCGCCTGTGGGTGTTGTAGGGTCCGGTGTCTGTGGGTTCTGTAAGCCGCGTGGCAGGCTTGCATGATGGGGCTTTGGGACTGCGCGGTGGCGGGGCACAGGGGGCGGCTGTGTGGCACATGGTGAGGAGCAGGAGAGCCATTCTGGTGGTGGCAGCTTACCCGTTCTGGTGGTGGTGGCCGTGCGTGTGGTGGTGCTGTCGTGCGTGCTGCGGCTGCCGAGGTGGCGGTGCTGCTGCCGTGCGGGGTTTCCCGGGGTGGTCCTTGGAGCCTTGGACAGCTTGGCTGCTGTCTGCTTGCTGTGGTCCCTGGGGTGCTGCTAGGCTGCTGCCTGCCTGCTATGGCCCCCAGAGTCAGTGGAGAGGGCCAGGGGCCGCCAGGGTGGGACCACCTCAGAGCGTGTCAGAGGGCAGGGGCTGAGGGACGAGGTTAGTAGTTAAGTGGGAGAGAAGGTTGGCTGTTAAATGAAAGGGTTAGTGTAAGGGTTACAGGGAGAGCTCATGTAAGGGTTACAGGATGGCTAGTGTTATGGTGGAAGGAGGGGTTAGTGGTAGGGAGGATTAGTAATGGGTGAAAGCTAATGTATACAAACATGTATAAGAAAAGTATCATTATATGAAGGTATATACAGTCTCTGTATCCTGCATTCAAAAAGCACACTACTAGAAATATATACACATTGAAAAAGAGCACCAATTTATGTTATTGCTATTTATACCACTATTTCTGTTCATGCTGCATCTAAATCTATGTCTATTAGATGTGTCACAGCCTGGTGGTGTGAATTCCAAGTTCTTTGAATCACAGAAGTGTAATATAAACATAGTGGAAACAAATACTAGTCCCACTCCAGCAGACTCATCACCTATGACTTTACCACCACATCTGTGGTCTGATTTCCCATGCCCATCTTGTCTATAGTGTAGCTCTTTGTCTTTTCACTGTGTCTATCACTTAGTCATTTAGATGTTAATCAGATTCTGTAATTCTTTACAATGGTATGCCCTAATGATTACATCGGTATCTAAAAATAAATACATTAAAGTGGTTCAAAAGGCATACTTTTTTTACCTTGATGCATTCTATACATGAAGGTTAAAAACCTTCTGTGTGCTGCTTCCCCCTAAACCCACCCTAATACTCACTTGAGCCTCCTCTCGATCCAGAGATGTTCACAAGAGCCTTGGATGTCCCAGGACACCATCTCCTCATTGACTGAGACAGCAGCAGGAGCCATTGATATATAGAGCCAGGCTTGAGAGAGAGCACGCAACAGTACCCCCATAGCAATCGACTTGCTATTGGGGGCACTGCTCAAGAAGGAGGAGCCAGGAGCGCCTGTGGGGGACCTGAGAAGAAGAGGATTGGGGCTTCTCTGTGCAAAACCATTACACACGTTGCCGCCGCCTCTCACCATCGCCCGCCCACCGCTGCTGCCACCAACTGCTGCTCAGTAGTTCTCAGCCTTACTTGAGAAACCATTGAACGATCCCTGCGCTGGGCATAGAGATTAGTGAAGGAAAGATGGCCTCCACTCATCTCTATACCCTTGGAGGACCGGAGTGATGTCACTTCCAGTCATTTTTTTTGTTTAAATCACTAGATCAATGATTTGTTTTTGATCCAATGCTTTACATTGCATAGGAAAGATGTGGGGTCCCATTGACCCCATATTTCTCCATAAAGGGGACCTGTCACTAATTATTTCTATCAGGGTTGCATGCATTTTTTGTGATAAGAATAAAAGTGATTACAAATTTTTTTAAGGGACAGTGCAAAAAAACCCCAAAAAATAAATAAAAAAATAAAGTTTAAAGTGCCCCTGTCCCCCCCCGTGCTCGCACGTAATAGTGAATGCATATGTAGGCCATGTCCACATATGTAAATGGTGTTCAAACCACACACGTGAGGTATCGCCACGAAAGCCAGGGCAAGAGCAATAATTCTCGCACTAGACCTCCTCTGTAACTTTACACTGCTGACCTGTAGAAATTTTTAAAGCATCACCCATTGAGATTTTTAAGTACCGCAGTTTCATTCCATTCCACGAGCATGACATGTTGGGTATCTGTTTACTCACCGTAACATCCTCTTTCATATTTTACAAAAATTGGGGTATATATTGTTTTTTTTTTTTTTTTAATTTTTCCAAAAAATATATATTCATTTTTAAAAACTGTGCATTTTGGTTTCAGTTTTCAGCCAAGTGCATTTTGAATTTTTGATTTCAGCACCAGAATTTTAACTTCGGTGCACCACTAGTATGCAGCAATCTCCAGGTCAGTGAGTGAGTTAATTGGTAGAATCTGTGGGGGATGGAGTAGACTGTGTTAAAAGAGTTGTCAAGGACTAGATGAGAGGGTGTTAGTCAGAGTGACATAATAGGAGGCAGGAATTATATATTAGGAAGGCAGATTTGTATAGAGTAAAGTCTTGCAGAGATTAATTAATTAATAATTTATGCCATAGTCACTTTAGTGCTCCTTTTCTCTTGAGGCTTCTGGTATTGTCTGTTTGTCAAAATCATAGCAGCTGAATTCTGCACTTGGTAAAGGGCAGTAAGTGTATCCAATTGGGATGAAAGTGAACTCTTGTAGACAGAGGTGGCCAGGTTAGGGTAGGATAGGGATGAGATTTTGTCATTGAGTTAGTCAGTAGCAGGATAGGGTGACTTTTTGCTGATTGGAGGGATAGGGGATTAAAGACAAGGAAAGTGGAAAATTGATAATGCTGTGATCACAGTGAGGGAAAAGATTGTTGGGGAGGTTGCAATGATTGCAGAGGTGGGAGAAAAGAAGGTCAAGGGTGTTGCCTTTTTAAAAGTGGGCAAAAGTGAACCTCCATTGCATTAGGTCAAAAGAAGAGGTTAGATGAAGGAATTTAGAGGTTACTGGGGTGTTAACATTAACTGGAATGTTAACGTCACAGAGGATTACAGTGGATATTTCAGATGAGTAGAAACAGGGTAAACAGGCAATGAAATCAACAAGGAATTGTGTCATAGGTCCTGGAGGCCGATCTATCACTGCAATCCCCAGGGAAACTGAGAAAAAAAAAATAGATGAATATAGTGTAGTTCAAAAACACAAGAGGAAGTTGTAGGAAGAAGTTGATTTGTGCTTTGTAGGGATAGCAGTAGTCAAACTCCACCTCTTTTCCTTCCACTGGGTCTAGGGAGTGAGTCCAGTGGAGGCCACCATAGGAGAAGGCAACTTGAAAGGCAGAGTCAGATTCCTCATGCTAGGTTTCAGTTACAGCAAATTGGTTAAAGGAGTTGGAGATAAAAAAGGTTGTTCACAAAGGTGAACATGTTACTTGTAGGCATGTCAGAGGGCACATGGAAAGGGGGGATGGGTCTTAGAAGCAGGGGAATCAAAATTAGGGTGAGGGTTGTGTCTGCTTTCAGTTGAAGATGGGTGCCAGTTAGCCAGGGTTAGGGGAAATATCTCCAGACATTAGGAAAAGCAGGAGGGTAAGGGAGCTAAGATAGGAGTGTAAATGTCCCAGTGTCTTGGGTTAATGACAGAATGTGTATTCCAAAAAGAGAAATAGATGACGAGTGCAATAACAGGGAGAGTCCCTCAAGAGGAGTCAATTTACTGATCGAACAGGACTGCTGGTAAATTTTCATTTGACCATGGAGGAGTCCCTGCTGTCAGTATACAATAATGCAGTGTGTACTATTCCCCATCCACCTTACTTTTAAGGTAGGTGAGAGACATAAGGACATGATCAATGCTTTGATCGGGCAAGGCACCAGGAAGGTAGATGTGTGTAAATGTTTTGCAGTTACAATGAACAATAGCAAGGCAGATTTAGTTTCAATCATATACAGTATAGCAAATGCGTGTTGGAGATGTTATTGAAAGTTGATTAGCATAGTGTTTTGCTTTGCGTTTTTAAGGTCACTTTGCAATAAAGCAAGGAAGCTTAGAATCCTCTGTAGTGCATTAATGTGCTTTTACTAAACAGAAATGTACATACAAAATATTAAATTATAGGAATACAAGACTGGCAAAAATATACATTCAGAAAATGCTATCTATTTCCTAGCCAATAAGCATAAACTATGGTCTACATACAATAAGCGGTTCTCTCATTCTGGAAGGATGTCATATGATGTCCTCCCACTCTCTAACCGCGCATGCGTGGCTCCGGGGGCAGGCAGCATGGCGATCGGCATTCCTCAGTGGGGACATGTACACTGATCATCAGGGCACTGATGATCAGTGTAGCCCCAGCAGTACCACCTGTCAGTGTCCATTAATGCCACCTGCCAGTGCCCAGCAGTGCCACATCAATGCCACACATCAGTGCCTACCAGTGCACATCAATGTCAAATATCAGTGCCCATCTGAGCTGCCTTTCAGTGCCACCTATCAGTGCCAGTCAGTGCCACCTATCAATGCCAGTCAGTGTCGTTTATCAGTGCCAGACAATGCCACCTATCAGTGCACATCATTGCTGCCTATCAGTGCCCGTCAGTGCTGCCTATCAGTGCCACCTAACAGTGCCAGTCAGTGCCACCTAACAGTGCCAATCAGTGCCGCCTATCAGTGCCAGTCAGTGCCGCCTATCAGTGCCACCTATCAGTGCTGCCTATCAGTGCCATATATGATTGCTGCCTTTCAGTGCCCATCAGTGCCACCTACCAGTGCCTCCTCATCGGTGCCCATCAGTGCCACCTATCAGTGCCCATCAGTGCAGCCTATCAGTGCCCATCTCTGCAGCCTAATTAGTGCACATCAGTGAAGGAGAAAAATCACTTATTTACAAAATTTTATTACAAAAACTAAAAAAAAAAAACGTTTTTGTTTTTTTTTTAATTTTCAGATTTTAGTTTGTGTAGCAAAAATTAAAAAGCCCAGAGGTGATTATATACCACCACCAAAAAAAATCTCTATCTGTTTAAAAAAAATGATAAAAATGTCATATGGGTACAATGTTGCATGACTGCGCAATTGTCATTCAAAGTGTGACAGCGCTGAAAGCTGAAAACTGGCCTGGGCAGGAAGGGGGTATAAGTGCCCTGTAGGCAAGTGGTTAAAGTGGTAGTAAAGTCTTTTTTTATATTTTACCTTCAGTTAAGCCTTTAATATGGCTTAGCTGTAGGTACTTTAAATATGTCCTAAATGGTGCACGATTAGGAGATATTTACTTTAGCAGTACCGGTGATGTCACAGTCTCAGTGAAAGAGTCGTGCCGAGGCCGAGACTCCCACATGCATGCTCGGAAATGACATGGCTGGACCAGTTGAATGGCCGCAGCCCGGGAACCTGGAAGGAAGAGCAGGTGAAGATGGAAGCCCCAGGGAGCCATGACAGTGCCCTGCTGGAGAGCTTCATTTTCAGATAAGTCTTCCATAATGTGATAGTAGGTAATGCATACTAGCACATTAAGCTCTTAACTTGCAGGGAGAAGTTTTTTTAGATTTTTTTTACAGTTTACTACCTCTTTAACCTCCCTGGAGGTATTCCCGAGTGTAGCTCGGGGTAAAGTTTCAGCACCACAAGTGGTAACCCCGATCTACACTCGGGAATACCTTGCAGCGTTGCTCCGGGATCTCTTCTTCACTTACCTTGTCCTGCGCTCCGCTCCCCCTCCTGCAATGTCCCCGGCAAAGTCCTCCGGCCCGATGTCGGCATCCGTCTTCTGGGTTCCGTTCCCTGCGAGCGTCAGGACGTACGGGGACAGAAGTGGCGGGAAATTTAAAAATGTGAAAAAGTGACATTCACTAAATACACTAAAATCTCCTAGTAAAACATTACTGTATCAAACCATTTCACATACATTTTGTCCCTGAGTGCTTTGTCCTGTGCCCTGCCTGCATTTATACTGTTCTTTCTGCCTGGAAACTGAAAAATGTCCATGGCGTCCAAAAAGCGTCCCTTTAGGTCAAAAGCGGTTTTATACCAGCTAGAGAACAGCGATAGTAAATCAGAACCACTTGCAGAATTGAGTGATAATGATTCGTGGGGAAATTCGGCATCAGACACTGAAAACGATTTTGTGACTTTGCTCAGTGATGTTCGAACTTGGCGCTATATTTCAAATTTCAGTGTTTTTGGTTTGATTATATTATTGAATTAAATTTATTATTATATTATTATTATTTTTTTATGATTATTTATTAAATTATAATTTATGATTTCGTGTTTCAAATTTTAACATACCCGGGATGTTTACTAGACTCTTGTTCAGACAGATTTCAGTGAGTTATTTCTAAGAATTACAGGCCTACAATTAAAAAAATACATATTTCCATGCAAAAAAATGTACCACTTTGAGCACAGAAATACTGACATAATCAGACCACTAGGGAGGCTACAGAGTATTCCATAGATTGTTCACAGAGAATATTAGACATCCATGTCAGGCACTGTGCACACTCTTATTTTCTTTTACGGTGAATGCTTGTCACAGAGCTGCTGGAACATTACATAGAACATTGGCAAGTATTGCAAGCCAGTGTAAAGGTTCAATTGCCTGCAGTTGTCAGGATTTTTATTGATTGGGTGAAGAGGGTGAAAGCATTGGGATAAAGCTTTTGTACAGTTGTCCTTTAAATCCTATTTTCTTTTATTAATAACGTATGCATATACAGGAAAGGTTAAGGCTGACCATTCCGTAATATTACAAGTCTGCATGAACAAATTCCTGACATGACATAATAGTAAAAGTATAAGGGGCTCCACCTGTTATCATTAAAAAGCAGTCCTTTAGGTTCACTTTAGATTTCCCAAGGCAGAGATGGTTTCATCAGTCTGTTGCAGGCAGGAGGAAGAATTTCTTCTTTTGTTGGAATCAGACTGTAACTTTGTAGCAGTGTACAAGGTGAGAGCCCGCAGCAGGGGGCTAATTTGTGTCAGACATTTGTAAAAGCAGCCAAGAATTGTTTGGACACCCCTGTATAATGCCTGAGCAAACATGATCCTTTCTGGAGAGAAAGCCAGAGGCAGGCATTGTCATGGGGAGTACTATGATCTCACCCCATCACGTTCCTGAGCTTTCACTTAACATGAAAATGTGTAGCTGATGTAAGGTCCACCTAAGCCCATTGGGACTCACTGGTCGTAGAGATCCTTTACACGTGTGAGGAGCTTACTAAACCCCGGACTCTGCATTCACTCTATCTAGTCTCCTACAGCACACAGAACATGGAAATGCAATCATTTTATTAAATATAAACAGCTAAATACCTTTTCTCATCAGCAGTTAGAGCAGTCTTGTGACTTCTATCAGTGTCCATCCGAGCGCTGGTAAAGCTTGTAGGAGTTTTAATTTTGCTCTAGGAGGATGCAGAACCCCTGACGTCTGCCTGGGCTGTGCTGGTCACATTCTCCCCCCTCCCAAAAAAACCCTCTCTAAGAATACACACCAAACTGAGCATGTGCAGAGTCACTCCACACATATGTCTTATCAGGAGATAAGAGGGGGACACTGGAAGAAGGGGAAGATTAGAAAAGTCAGGATCAAACAGCCTTTTTACACAATGCAGATGATTAACCCCTTAGGTTCCACAGTGAGTATAACAAGCATGCTTTACTATATTATAGGTACAGACTGATTATACTGTTGTGGGTTTAGTAACACTTTAAATATCATGATCAGGAGATTACAACCCTAATGTCTTGATTATTATTATTATAATTATACAGGATTTATACAGCACCAACAGTTTGCTCAGCGCTTTACAATATAAAGGGAGACAATACATCAACAATACAGTTCAATACAAGAGGGTTAGGGGGCCCTGCTCCTTGGAGCTTACGATCTAAGAGACAATGATAGATTTAATCATGTTCACTTGATAGGAAATACTACAGTCCTGGACACTTGGCAAGGATAACCAAACAGATATTTCACTTTGCACCTTTATTCACATGCAAGCAATTTCTAGTGATATAATAGGAGACTACAGCAAATACAGGTCAGCGTGCCTTGTCCAAATATCTGTTCTGCAACAAGTCAATGAAATTGCAGACCGTGTCATTTTTGTTCTGCGTTGCCATTGCATTTTTTAGGCCCCTTGAGTAAAGGCTTATGTACTAAAGTGCTAATAGGGTGTGGTTTACTGCATTTTTATATACATGATTAGGATAGAAGGGAGAAAATACACGCAGGAAACGACAACAAAATGCTGGCAAAATGTTCAGCAACAGAAAGTCGCAAGAAAACATTAGCATGAACTTGGCACAAAACTGGCTTGGCTGAACATTTCAAATATAGAAGTGTAAATCCAGCCCCACACTGAATGTAATTAGCTGCATGATGGAACAAAAAACATACAAAGTGACAACTTACAAAGCTAGATTTCTATACAGACTTTTTATACACAGCTCCAATATTGATCAAGTTCTCATAGGGATCTTTGCCTGTCTGGCAGACTTGCTTTTCTGGCTCTTGGCTTTTTTCACTTTCCTGGAAAGGATAAAGGTAAGAAGGGAATAAAGGAAGGTCAAACCTCAAAGCTGAATTTATTTCAATAAAGACCGTTCCAAAAAGTCAATAAAGGTTGCAACATGTAAATTCCTCTCTGATTTTATTTATACTACTTTCATTAGCTTAGTGTTTTAGTAATCACTCTGGTTTCAAAGATAATATGGTAAAGCTGAACTCCATATAAGCTATGTAGGTAACTTTATTTGACTTAGTAGCAGCCTCGTACAGTTTACAATATTATTATTATTATTATTATTATTATACAGTATTTATAAAGCGCCAATAGTTCGCTCAGCGCTGTACATTACAAAGGGGGACAGAACATGTGACAGAACAATACCAATACAATGCAAAACATGAGGGGATCGAGGGCCCTGCTCTTTCAAGCTTACAATCTAGGAGGGAGGGGATGGTGGCACAGGAGGAGATAGCTGTGGGGGATGGAGTGGTAGGAAGAATGGAGGAGGTCGGCAAGTTAGCAGGGGGCGGGGTAGGCTTCCCTGAAGAGCTGGGTTTTCAGGGTGCGCCTAAAGGAGAGGAGAGTAGGTGATAATCTGATGGGTTGGGGCAGGGAGTTCCAGAGGATGGGTGACACCCTGGAGAAGTCCTGGAGGCGGGCATGGGAGGAGGAGACCAGGGAACTAGAGAGAAGGAGGTCTTGTGAGGAGCGGAGTGTGCGTGCTGGGCGGTACTTGGATATTAGGTCAGTGATGTAGTTCGGGGCAGTATGGTGGACAGCTTTGTACGTCAGCGTTAGGATTTTGAATTTGATCCGTTGCGCAATCGGAAGCCAGTGGAGGGATTGGCAGAGGGGGGTGGCGGAAACGGAGCGGTTGGAAAGGTGAATGAGTCTGGCAGCCGTATTCAGGATGGACTGAAGCGGGGATAGCCAGCGGCGAGGCAGGCCAGTGAGGAGGGAGTTGCAGTAGTCGAGTCGTGATATGATGAGGGAGTGGATGAGCTGTTTAGTGGTTTCTGGAGTTAGGAACGTGCGGATTTTGGCGATGTTGCGGAAGTGGAGTCTGCACGAGTTTGTTAAAGAGTGGACTTGGGGCTGGAAGGATAGGTTGGAGTCCAAAATTACACCAAGTACTCTGGCCTGCGGGGCGGGTTTGATGGTGGCGTTGTTGGACATGAT